TAGATATATAGATATATATATATAGATATATAGATATCTATGCAGCTACGCGACTAACCCACTACCGTGCACGCTATATTGCGGATACGCATTCTTATTGTGGATGCAAACGATCGAGAGATGATTGGATCAAACAGATGGTCAGTTTATCGGTACAGATTTGAACTCCGTTCAAAGAATGATCGTTGATGCCTTCCGGTCGAGACTCGAGACACCACCGAGTGCCACGATTAGATTAGATTCAGAATGTGTTCAATTAGAATTTTGCAGACGAAGAGAACTGAACGAATGAAACTGAAATGAAGGGAAAATATGACCAATGGTGGTACACTGCCCGCTACTTCTTTTCAATTTTAGGTAAATATGAGGAGATTGTTACAATGATAGTCGAATGCTTTGAAGATGACACGGAGTATGTTTTCTAACCGATATACACGGGACAAGGGCTGAAATCTGTGACCAATAACTTCGAAATCAATCAATAACTAACGCTAAGATTAGAAGCGTATCACAGATAGAGAGAGAAAGAGAGAGAGAGAGAGAGAGACAGGGACCTGATGACGCAAAAAACGAATTTTATCGGTCTATGTAACAAAAACTGTGGCTAAGTGAATTATATAAAAAACCATGGACATGCATAGTGAGAAGATATCGCATAAATGCAATTCCACGACGCTTAAACATGTGTCGAACACCCTTTTTCATGTATGCACGATGAATGTGATCGTGAAGTATGAGGGAACAGTGTTTGTGAAATATATGTGAGTGCATTATACATGGGTGTGCAGCATCGTAGAGGTGTTTCTTGACTACCTTGTTCTGTTGTTGCCCGTCTTCCGTTTGTCCATTCTCCTTTGGCCTATCTTCTATAGCTTTAGGCGCGTGTCCGCTTAATTTATATTGCTGGAGCTGTGAATTTGATCGAAATGTATCAGTACCATATTTATCCATCGTTTGGTCAGAAAATACACGAAGTTAGATAAAATGAATTGTACCTCCTCTTTGGTAATGGCTAGCTCATCCTCCAGGCTCTTGTTCTTCTCTAGTGCAACTCTCAGACGTTCTCGTACCTGAAAACGAATCACCATTTTGAGATATCTCTTTCTAATTCGAAATCTACCGAAATTTCTCGCGTCTAATTAACGTGCATTCCTCAACTGGTATATCTCGTTGCATCTTGGACATTTAACAAATCTATTTGCGTATCTAGTTCATCAAGTATGCAACGAGAGAGCCAGTTTCAGGGTTAAACGGGTGAATCGCAAGTCCGCATCCAGCCCCAAGGTTGCGAACGTGTCAATGTCGTCAAACAATGGATCAGAAAGTTCTTACTTTCTCGTCTAAAGCCTTGTGGTGCTCGAACAGACTTTTCAGAGCTTTGAGCACTTCAACTTCGGACGATACTCCAGATTGCGCAGCGGCTTGCCTCTTCACCACAGTCATCCTAAGCGATCGCTCGTGTCGGGAGACCAGGCATTCCAGATGTTCGAGCAGAAGCTACGGTGGGGGCAAATAGAATCGTCTTGGTGAGCAATATCGCGGTTGTACAAGAGCCTTCCAACTATAAGATGCATTTAGAGGCCTGTTCTGAGTACGTACACGAGTATTATTCCTCTCCGCTTTCAGCTCCGAGATTTCCTCCTCTCTCTCTAGGATGTTCTCGCGGGCAACTGCGAGCTCCTTGGACAATTGTGAAAAGTCCTGCAATCAGAAAGAAATCTTAATGAAGTACCATCTCAATACCATACCAAAACAAAAAGAATTCATCGCCTAAATAACACACTGCTTCTTTTTTTTTTATCACTTTTAACGAAAGCACGAAGTAGGGTGACAAAGTACATGCATAATAATAGAAAAATTTCAGCCTCGATAGGCGAAAATCCTTGGCCTCAACCTATCACCCCTGTGAAAAATTCACCGGTGAGAGACAAAAAGATGGTAAGTTTTTTTCTACAACGATTGGACAAAACGAAAAAGAGGAGAAAGTTACCTGCACAGCAAGAGAGGACGAGGGATCGTGCAAGTGCAACGATTTAAACGATGGAGGAGAATTAATCGACAGGACGTCGACCAAGTTTCGGTGAAACGATCGTCAAAGTGATCAGGTCTCGGCGGGAAGCACGACGACAGGGAAACCGCACTTTCACCTTTTTCATTCAGCCGCGTTTCACACACGCCTTCGAACGCGTTACTTCCGCTCGACATTCCAGCAGAATGTTAAATCTTTATTTATAAATGCTACCGCTGATCGATACGGCCTTCCACGTTGGAAACAACACCGCACCAGCTGCTTTGCACTTTAAAGGAGCAAACAGCCCCGCTCTAAATTTACACCCTTGTCCCTGACTTTACAGCCGTTTATTCGAACACACGTGTACAATATTTTCAGAGAAAATTTGCTAGTTCGAAAGAATTGTCCCCTCTGAAAATCTATATTTCGAGCAATTTTCTTTCTCAGGTTTCGTTGATTAATCGATTCAGTTGTATCATTATGGTCAAATTACCGATGCATCGGAATTTACTCAGAACCCTTGAAATATCTGTTTTCCTACATTTCCTCTCCTCGAGAACTTCTTTTCTCCAACTTCCTCTCTTAAATTTTATTCTCCAGGCATTTCTGAAGCCGTCCAGCAATCCCGCGGCATAATGAAACTTATATTCCCCCCAATATCCTTTCCTCGAACCGTGTTTTCTTAAATTTTCCGAAGCCTTCCAACTAGCCAATCTCGAATTCCAGAAATTTCCAATCTCTCCCTGCTCGGCATACCTCGTTCAAACTTCAACATCCTTCTCTAAACTCGAATTCCTACTTGATACTACTCGAATGTCCATCCTCGAATGTTTAAGAAATAGTTGTTTCACCGAGTTTATTAGACGAAGAAGCCTCTCCCGGTGGACTAATGATAGCTAGAGCGCCATTAAAAACTGCGCCATTATCGCGGCGGATTACATAAAAGGCGTAACGAGCAATCGGATTGTGAAAAAAAAGAGAGGAAAAAAAGCGATGCAAGATGGATAAGGCCGTTCAAGCGACCCGATATTGTCTTCAAGTGGCGGCGATATCGATGGATTCGCAAAGAACTCATTAGCCCCAGCGCGACGGCTGATTAATTACAGCCCGGTCGGAGAATCCTATTAGCCCATCGGCGGCATGACGAACGAAATCGTCGGGAAATACGGGCCGCGTGGAAAGCGGCTACACGAAGGAGGACGGGCCTAATTTGCATGACGAGTCGCATAGTATGAATCGTGTTTCACTGGGACCTTGGAATCCCCACTGGTTGCCTGCAATTAGGCGCAAACGCTCCGTATTAAGGGATACGTTATGTTATTATCGATTTAGAAAAGAGGAATTCCCCTTGTTCGTCTTTTTTCCTTCATTTCTCGTTGAGTGAACGACGAACGCGAGAAGATGTAAGGTGAAAGAGTAAATTAATAATTTGTCAGTTTTTTCGTGAAGTGGATGGTGAACATACAAAGTGGGAAGAGTAGATTGATAATTTACAGGATTGAGAAGACAGTTTATCATAGCGATTTAGAAACGAGAAACTAATCTCGTGAACTAGAAAGATCATCTATTTGCGGGTACATTCCCACGAATAAATAGGAGCAACAAAAGACACGTTAAAGCCTGGTATTGTTCTCTCTAAGCCAAATTAACGACGCTTTTCCCCATTCGTTTCTCGCTTTAACAACCGACCCTTGAATAACCATTTCTCGACCGTTCAACTCTTTTCCAAATAGAATATTACATCATTTCGGGTTTGTTTTTTTTCTTTCTAAAAATTCTTCCAGAAGAAATGGCAATAAAATCCGGAATATTAAATAAGGAATCACTTTTGAAATTGTGCAAATATTACCGAACGGGAATAAATATTTAGTATTCGGTTTAATTGCCACTCATCGATTAGCATGCATTAACATAACAAGCAGCACAATTTCTGCTTCCATACAGACGTCGAACACCTGTATTCGAGTATAATTGATCGATATATTCGCAGACAAGGCCGAATCGAATCATTAAGAGCTCCGACGTGTACACGCACATATAGAGAGAGAGAACGAGAGGAAAGTCGCAATTTATTCGACAATTTCTTCGCGCAACAAGTAGCTCAAAGAACGGAACCTCCGACGTGTAACTTGTGCCAGCAATTAAAATGAATTTTTCCACGTTTTCGTGCCGCGTACGTGTATCCACACGCTCGAGAACTCGTCCCACCTGGAACAGTAATTAACCATGGGACATCGTTATCTACGATCCGCGCGATTTTTACCGGTATTTATACCGGAACGATTGTTAACACGTCGATTTAATATACGCATAATTGAGACTCGGTGCACTTTGAGAGGAATTATTATTCGATATCTGTGAATAAGTGCGAGTGTTGCCCTCGGGCTACAGAATGTAGGATTATATTTCTTTTTGTTAAACTGTTTTGTGTATTACTAAGCGACTTTCAACCGTTTATAAGTAAACGAATAAAACATATACAGAATTCTTTTTTTCCTTGATAAAAACTCCAACTTTTCGACCGAAAGTAGAAGAAGAAAGCTTGAGAAAGCAAAGTTTAACTGCTCGGTTGATTAGTTTCTTCCACCCTTGATGGTCGAAGAAGGAAGAAATTGAACTCCCCTCGCAAAAAAATGTAAATTTCAATATCTGAGCCGGTGCACAGGCAGGGGTTGTGCACTTCTAACGAACTGCACCTGGATAACTCTCACAGTCGGTTGCATCCAGGGATTGAAACGGTTCCAGAAATAACTGTTCAAACTGTTATATAAAAGTTCTTTGTAAAACCCTCATGAAGAACCGTATAAGGAACCGAACTTTCAGCAGATTAACGTTCAAATTGAATATAAATAAAAGTGAAGAAATTAATCCCCTACGCGAAGAGGAATTTTTCCAAGTTCTGGAAAACATTATTCATTTTAACCCCTGTGGGGTTTGTTCTGTACTGGTTTTATTTATATCATCTTTACCTAAACTCATCTTTACTTCTATTAGTAGGTTACTACACCCACATAACCTAAACTCAGATTCCACATTCTCTCTCTTTTATGTATATTTTTTACTTTTCTGATCTACTTTTACTTTATGACAATCATTTTTCTTTCTCTTCACCATTTACAGTACATACATATATTATTATGTGTGTGTCCTTTTATCGTGTTACTATATATTATAGTTTATTATTATTAATCATAATGGAGTACAGTACATTCATTTATTATATACATATTTCTTATTATCCATCTATTTATATTTCTTTTTACTCATATACATTATATTGATAGGGGGAATTATAATTGGTATTATTTATTAATATCGATAATTAATAATAATTTCTGAAAGTGAAGGGGGCGGGCGGTCACCCATCTTTGTCGGTCCCCCGACAAGTGAATCTTCACCTTCTGATCGACGAGTAGCTCCTGCGTCCTACGCAGCCAACTAGTTTACAGTTTAGTTTTTATTTGTATCTTAAGTGCTTCTGCATATTACATAGTTAACTTTAGATATAATATTGTCCTTAAGTATTAGGTTGCGTTGCCTGTCCGGAGACATTTGGCGCATGTCCTGTGTTTTCTTTTCGCTTTTCAGTGCTTATTGTGTAAACAGTGAGAATTGAGCTGTTGTGATTAGGAGAAATTTACAATAAAAACCTGTCGCTATGCAGCCAACTACTCCACACTCATCTTTTATACAATTAAGCTATAAAAGTTACTAATCGTACTTGATACCGAATAACAACCGATTTTATACAACGAACAAGTATTAAACAACTACATTTAGTAGTCCTTTTCAACAGATTGACATTAAAATTCAATATAATAAGGAACAAAAATTTTGTTTTAAACAAAACCAACTTCAATACAACTGTTTTCAATACCTAGTTGCACCATAGGTGCAAACTGCATTCGAGTTTAAATCTCATATTACGTACGCGTCACTTCGCGATCGATATCGCGTGGAAATTATCGCTCTGTTCTGATGCTGTGTTCCACGATGACTTCGTGACGCAGCCACAGGGAATCGATAGATGCACCGAGATTCTATTCTCCTCGATTCGCCTCGCCCATCGATACGTGCTCTTACATCTTTTATTAGACGATTGCTTGAAATTTTGCCACTTGTAATTTACAATTTACCGGCGTAAAAAAGCTACTGTACTTTCAAATTTCGCTTAATTTATTCGCCAGCTGATTTCGGTGATTTTCCATTCTCGGTTGTTTCAACAAAGTATCGTGTCTAGTTTGTCTGTGACATTTGGTTTAATAAAAAAATACGACGGTAGAAAGACCGAAAGACGTTTGACACGCGAGATCGACGATTAATATCGAAGAGATTTTCCTCGGGAAGAGAAAAAGAACGCTTCGAACGAATCCAGCGAGATACTTTCTACTGTCAATTGTAAATAGCACCAGTCCCGCCTCTGCAAATTGCAGACGCGAATCGAATTAATGCGCAATGCCACTCGAGTTTACGATCCCCGATCCATAGAACCACGGTTCTACGCAATCACGTCCGTTGTATGTAATTATTATTAAAACCGTGGTAGAAAAATTTCTACCTTACCAACTGATGCTTTCGATACGTGTTCGAAGAGAAGAAGAACGAAACAAAAAAATAACGGGCAGAGAGATTGCTGACAACTGTTACACGACAAATGGAGGATGATGGAAACTCTTACCGGCTGACAATT